TTACTTGAGTAATCAAAGTGTTACTTGAGTAAAAGTACAAGTATCTTACCATAAAATTACTATATGGTAAAAGTTAAAGCCTACTTTAGGAATATTACTTGAGTAAAAGTACAAGTATCTTACCATAAAATTACTATATGGTAAAAGTTAAAGCCTACTTTAGGAATATTACTTGAGTAAAAGTACAAGTATCTTACCATAAAATTACTATATGGTAAAAGTTAAAGCCTACTTTAGGAATATTACTTGAGTAAAAGCCCTATCTGACATTTACTGTAGGCCTCAAAAGTTATGAGAAATGTTGAAACATTTGGGATGCACTGAGACAGTGGTTCTCAAAGTTGGGGTCGGGACKCCACTGTGGGTCCTGAAACATCAAGGRGGGGRCTTGAAAGGATTTTCAGCACCACTTACATTTAAAAATTATCAACATTTTTTTACCTTAGTTGTTACAAGAGTGAGATTAGTGTAAATTGATTTTTTTTAATTAAACCTTTATTTRACCAGGAAAATCCCAATGAGGTTAAGAATCTCTTTTGCAAGTGAATCCTGGTTACAGAACACTCACAGCAAAAATAGAAAAAAGTTTACGCCATCATAGATGGATTAAATAAAAGTTTCCTCAGTGGAAACYTTTACAGACAGACGATTCCTTCAGCTCAAACTGAAATTGGCATAAAGGCTCCTGATACCAGTTCTCCCTTCTCTGCTCTGTCTGGTTTCTCCCGTTGGATTGCACCGGTAGAATTTCAACCAGGCCGTTGGATTGCACCGGTAGAATTTCAACCAGGCCAATCAGCGAACAGAAGGAGAAGTTGTGAACGATGTTGTCAATTTCTTGCACTGTTTCAGCCTGTAGTGAGTGAAGCCATTCATTCTGTGTTAACAAGGCTTCCAAATTAAATTAAATTTGTCTCACAAAAGTCATTTACAGCCATCTCGTTCGGCTCGCTACTTCTCTCTTCCCAGGGGATGATTATTTACAACACACGCAATTTCCGGTTAGCTTCGTAGCTTAGCTTCCTTCACAGTCGAGGTGGTGCACGGCATGCATCATTGCCAAATGTTAGCAATTGGGTAAAATCAATCCAATCGTTTTAAATTTCAACAGAGTCCACACCTCCAGCAAGAAAACATTTCTCAACAGCCGGGAGTCCAGAACCTCTGTACAAAGCAGCATGACGGCTCACAGCAAGAAGGTCCTGCTCGATCCCCGATTCGGACCTGGGGTCTTTCTGTGTTCAGAGCTGGCAGGTTCTCCTRGTGTTTGCATAGGTTTGTTTCAGGTACTCCGGTTTCCCCCACAACACAAAAATATTTACAATAGGTTGCCTTCAGGCCCAGGCTGCCCTTGCAATAGGATTTACCTGGTTAAGTAGTAAGATATAAATAAATAAATAAATAAATAAATAAATAAATAAATGTAAATACAGTATACAGTACATACAAGTTACATACTAGCATTTATTGTGTACATTGTACCTTTTACTTATTGGGCACTTACATGGTACCTATACCAGGTGAATATGAGCCGGAATGAAAAAAGAGTAACAAAGGCTATTTTTCAATTGTAAGGAGTAGAAGTAAAAAGTTGGCTGAAATGTAATAAACTGAAAATGACTCCAGCAAAGTATAAAAATTTCTACTTAAGTAAGATAACAAATAGATAATTGTTAAAGAAATAAGTAGTGGGTGTGAACATTTTGGTGAGAATAGACATATTTAACAGACAAATGAGACCAAAGAGATGTTTGGTGATAATCTAACGCCTGCGCTGTTAATCAGAGGTGTCAAGTAACTAAGTACAAATACTTTGTTACTTTACTTAAGTAGTAATTTTGGTTATTTATACTTTAGTGGAGTAATTATTTTTCAGACAACTTTTTACTTCTACATTTTAATTCAATTATCTGTACTTTCTACTCCTTACTTTTTAAAAATGCAAAAAGTATTTCATTTCTATTTAACTTTGACTTGTTTTTATTCCATCTTTTCATTGTTCAGAAAAAAAAATCAATAAATATAAATCTATCCAGACACATGGAGCCCATGGATAGAGTGAGTTTGATTGTGGTTGATGAGAAGTGTAAATATAAGTGTAAAAAGTGTAAATATATACAATTCTGACATCGTACTGGATTGAGCTCACTCCATCACACCTGTGTAGTAGTTTCCCWTCACTGCTGCGTCTAGAATTTCTCCCATAAACAAGGATTTCTTTGGGAGAATTTTCATCCGGGCCAATCAGAGAACAGAACGTCGATTTTCTGCACAGTGCCTGATTGTAGTTTATTTTACCTGGACCAATCAGCAAACAGAAGGAGGAGTTTTGAATGACGTCGATTTTCTGCGCAGTGTCTGCTAMTTAGTTTAGCATACGGCAGTGGAGGAAGTGAATGAAGCCAGTAAATGTTGATAAGGCTTCCAAATTAAATTAAATTAAATTTGTGTGATAAAGCAGCAGCAGCTCTCATTTGGTCGTCTCGTTCGGGTCGGCACATTTCTCCTCTCAGTAGGGTTTTTTACAGCCCACACAATTTCTTGTTAGCTTATTAGCCTAGCCTCTTTCACAGCGACATACGTCACTGCCAAACTATCCAATCATTTTAAACTTCAGCAGAGGCCACGCCTCCTGCAAGAATCACTTCTCTATAGCTGCGAGTCCAGACCCTCTGTACCAAACAAAGTGAAGGACAAGGATCTGATTTTTACCAGGCTAAGTCTAGTCAGTTAATTCCAAAAATTTCAACATTATAATTTAACAATATACTCATTATTCACTTTAGAAGAAAAATTGTGTGTGTGTGTGTGTGTGTGTGTGTGTGTGTGTGTGTGTGTGTGNGCAGTGGTTGGAGCTGTCACCTCACAGCAACAATGTTGCAGGTTTGACTTCTGGCCTGAAGCTTCTCTGTGTGGAGTTTACATGTTCTCCCTGTGCAGAGGTGGGTTTTCTCCAGATGCTCTGGTTTCCTCCCATAGAACTAAGCCCTGCAGGCTAGGTTCACTGGTAACTGTGGGTGAGAGTGAATGGCTTGTGTCCCTGTGATGGACAGGAGACATGTCCACGTCATGCTCAGTGAGAGGACACCAGCTTCTCTGGGACCTGGGAAGGAAGTCCTCAGTCCCTCTAAAACCTCCAGAATTGGTCTCCTCGGTCCCTCTAAAAACTCCAGTTCTGGTCTCCTCTGTCCCTCTAAAACCTCCAGTTCTGGTCTCCTCGGTCCCTCTAAAACCTCCAGAACTGGTCTCCTCGGTCCCTCTAAAATCTCCAGAACTGGTCTCCTCAGTCCCTCCCAGACCTCCAGACCTCTCCACAGTTCCTGGATGTTTACAGACTGATGTTAGGCTTCAGAGGGGAACATCTGGAATAACTAAACTGATGTGTTTCTGCCATCAAATCCAATTTATTATTGTCTTTATGTGGACTTTCTGTTTAAACTTTTATTATAATTACAATGTTCAACTGTAAATAAAATATGTGTTTAGGAGATTTGCAAATCATTAAATTGTGTTTTTATTAACTTTTTTATGTTATGGTTTTTACATATTGTTTTACATTTACAAACAAATGAATACAGTCTGCATACGTTTCTGAACTCCGTGGCTCACTTTGAGCACAATGTATGCAAATTGTGCAATTCTACTWAATTTCATTTTATTGTCTTATAAACTACTGATCCGGTGTGGAAACTGGGTTTTTACACAAGTTTCATTTTCAGGGTTTTTATTTTAATCTGAACTTAAAAATGAATTATAAAGAAATCTGAATGAAACATTTCCTAAATGATGTTTAATGAATGACTGGTTATAGTAAATATTGTTTTAGTGGCGCCCCTTGGAGGCTACAGAGTGAACTACAGTTAGTCTGTGAAAAGATGTTTTCAAACATCTGGAGCGAAATGAAGCTTACAAGTAAACAACAATAACAACAACAGTTCCAGGGTTAAAGATTAAATGAAGACAAAGAAAGTGCATTAAAGAAAGAACTGGAAAGTTCAAGGTGAAAAACTAAGAGGATGGAAGAGGAGAAGAACTGTGGAAATAAATACTGAAGGAGAAGAAACATAAAACAAGGTGAGAACGTGAGGAGATAAAAGCTACAGAGAGTTCAGCTGGAAGAAGAGCTAAAAGTAAAGATGTGAAAAGAGCCAGAGTCAAAAGGTGTTAACGAGATGAAGTGATGAGGAAGGAAGAGGAGGAGGAAGAAAAGAGACGACTTTTATAATGAAGGAGAAACCTGAGTTAATGGAGCAGCAGCAGTGTGCGCACAGAACTGGACCGGACCTTTTTATAATGACCCCATAAAGAGGAATAATGTTGTTTACCAAGACCAGACCATATTTACTGAGCACTTATAGACTGCAGGTCTGCTAATGGCTGCTGCTCATCCACATCTCCCACTTCACTCACCTCCTCAGACTCCTCTTCCTCCYGAGCTCGAACACTGACTGTGAGGAAAGCTGAGAAACACAAAAATAAGAATAAAAAAATAAAGTTAAGATTTGCTTCAGTTAGCAAGAAATCTACCCCAGAGGTTAGAGTTTAGGCTCATATTGTTATTTTTTTTCTTTAAACTGTTTTAATGTGAATATCTGTCAAATAAAAGTCCAGAACTTAAATTTTTTTTACTTAATATTTCAGATTTTGCAAACAAACATGGAAAGTCAGAGAGCATAARTTCTCCTGTTGTAAAAGTTTTCAGGCACTTAGTATTTTTATTTGTTTATTATTCTTGCCTTACAATTTGAATAAAGTTTTAGTTTAATTCTAAATATTTAATCTAAACTAAACTATTCAAACATTGAAGTTAACTATGAAAAATAAATTCTTGTTTTAAAGAATAACAAGAAAACATAAAACTCATTTGCTCTCAAGTCTCACTGTCACCTTTAGAAATGTATTAATGAAGTATCGCTCACACATAAAATAAATAACATTCCAAATAATACAATAAAACATATAAAAATAAATAAAATAAGCCATAAAATCAGTAAATTAAGATGCATCTGTTGGCAGTGTGAGGTCATGTAATAATC